CCAAGGCACAAATTACCTTCCTGTCGAAGGCCACTAATAGTATACATTTTTTTTGTTTTAAATTATATTTATATATTATTTTGTTATGGTAGTGGGTCACATGCCATGGAGCATGTGTGGAGGTCAGAGGACAGTTTGTGAGAGTTAGTTATCTCCTCCCACTGTGTGTCATGAGGATCAAACTCAGATTATCAGGTCTGGTGGTAAGTGCCTTTACCACTGAGCTATCCTGCTAGTCCTAATGGCGCCAATTTCTTGGCTGCCTTTTTAGAGGTACTGTGTGCATAAAACAAATTGTATGTGTGTGTTGCTGGGGTCACACCCAGGATCTTACATATACAAAACACATATTTTACTACTGAGCTGCACGTTCAGCCTTATGCATACACACTTTTGCTCAAATGCATACTTTTCTGCAAATCTTTTTCCTTACTTCTCTGTACATCTTAGAATTAAGTCAAATAAGCCAGTCAGTATATGAAGAAGTCTGGAACTTTTGCAGTTTTATACCCATCAGTTATAAAACTCTAGCAGGCCCCACTGTTTTTTAAGCTGTTTATGATCTGTTCTCACAAAGTGTTACAGTCAATAACCTTAGACACGTCATTTTACACGTGTGAGTGGACCTGCAGGGCTGGTTTCCAGACAGAGACCGAAAGGGACAGCTGCATTTGTGATTTCAATGAAGGATGTCAAACAAAGACCTTTGGGGTTGGATGACTTGCACTTCAGCAGTGTGGGGCTGAGTTGGCAGGAGCCTGGCTGGTGACCTAGGAGCACATGAAGAAAGCTAGACAGTGACAACTGCCCCCGACATGATTGTCTCTACTCCATCCCTCAGTGGACCTGGAGAAGCTGCAGTCAGTCGGCTGGGCACTAGAGGCCAAGGCTTGGAAACAGGAAAGCGCCTTCTTCTGAACTTGACAGAGGAGTGATTTAGGTAGAGCTGAGGTTTCACTAAAGTTTAGGAGCAGCCTTCGTACCGTAAATGATTTGACAGGCTGGGTGGGACATGTAGACCAAAACCAGATGTGAACATGAAGTGGGAAGCTTGTCAGCCGTAGAGCTGACCCTGCTGTAGGGAGGCAAAGATCAAATCCCCTGTAGCAGTGAGGACGATGCATGGATTGTTGTCCTAATGTGACATGCCGTAACAAATACAAACAGACAAGCCGGACGGTGGTGGCGCACGCCTTTGATCCCAGCTCTCGGGAGGCAGAGACAGGAGGATCTCTGTGAGTTCGAGGACAACCTGGTCTACAGAGCGAGATCCAGGACAGGCACCAAAACTACACAGAGAAACCCTGTCTCGAAAAAACAAATAAAACAAAACAAAAAATACAACCAGACCACCAAAGAGAGCAGGAGGGATCTTAGCTCATCTTAGGCAAGGTTTTACAGAGAGAAAAACAGGTACCGGAAGGTCTAGAGCTAGCAAGAGCAGAAGCATCAGCACTCCGTAGTGTGGTGTCAGAGGTGGCCTCAAAGTTGGAGTAGGAGGCCTTTTCCTTCAAGTTACAAGGAGCCAAACTTGGGCCCAAGAAGGACCTAGGACCGAGCTAGCCCATGGTCTCCAATCACTTGAGCCCCACTGTGGGCTCATCTGTCTAGTACTCAGGCAGCCTCTGTGGGTCCTCCCGTCAGGCTTGCTCTGGCTGGCAGCATGGTCTGAGGGTGGGTGAATGCTGCCACACCTGAATCAGTGAGAATGAGTCACTGTGGTCCTTGTCATTGCCATGACATTGAGGAAGCCCTCAAAGCAAGAAGACAGGAGGGGAAATGCGGAGCTGGAGTCTGGGATTTGTCTCCGAATGTCTTTCCTAAGAGCACCTGTCTAGATAGCTCTGCAGCTGACTGCCTCATCAGCCTTGGTGACAACATCGCACCTCACTGGTCTGTCTGCCATTCTGAGACTTTCCCTTCTGATTGGCTACATCTTCTTTCACCTTTTTTTATTTTTTATTTTTATTTTTTTATTATCAGCTTGATACAGTACAAATTCTTATCCTAATAGTGAAATGTTTCACTGAAGCTTGCCCAGTGATTGAGTAAAACCAAAACTTACTATAAGCCACGGTCATCCTAGGATCCCCCCTGCTATGTAGCCTCCCTGGTTCTGTGGGTTGCAGTCTGATTGTCCTTTGCTTTACATCTAGAATCCACTTATGAGTGAGTACATACCATGTTTGTCCTTCTGGGTCTGGGTTACCTCACTCAGGATGGTATTTTCTAGTTCCATCCATTTGCCTGCAAATTTCATGCTGTCATTGTTTTTCTCTGCTGTGTAGTACTCCATTGTGAATATGTACACATTTCCTTAATCCATTCTTCAGTTGAGGGGCATCTAGTTGTTTCCAGGTTCTGGCTATTATGAATAATGCTGCTATGGACATAGTTGAGCATGTAACTTTGTTCTTTCACCCTCTTCTAAAGAGAATTCTCCTGTCTCTTTTCTCTCAACAGATTTACCCATACTCTTAGGATCAATGGTCACTTCTGTACATGAGTCTCTCTGTCTCTGTATGTCATCTCCTGTTCTCTCATCTGGACTTGAACTCTGTTTACATCGCCTACCAAAATTCCCATCTGGATATCTAGCATCATCTCAGGTACCCATGTGTGAAATGGAGCCTGTCTCCTGGCCCAGCTCTATTTTCTGCTCCCGGCATTAATGCTCTTTCAACCACCCAAACCCAGGCCCTGAGTCAGATCTGGAGCCTCCTCCTGCTCTTCCATTCCCAAATACTAGTCTTTGCCAACTTCCTTCACAACAGTCTTTGTCCCTCACACTGTCCCTGTTAATCCAAGGTTTTCGTATGCCATGACTCGGATACTCAGTAGCTTCCTACTTGGTCTTTCTCTCTGCTGTACTACTCCCTGCTCCAAGACTCACTCCCCCCCCCCATTTTGTTTGTTTGTTTTTTGAGACAGGGTCTCTCTATGTAGCCCTGGCTATCCTGTAGCTTGCTATATAGATCAGGCCAGCCTCGAACTCAGAGATCTGCCTACCTCTCTCTCCTGAATGCTGGGACTAAAGGTGTGTGCCACCATGCTGGGTGACAATCTTTCTTTCATTCTTTCATACCAGGTCAGACAGACTTTTTAGGATGGCTCTCTCGATCTCGTCTCTTCTACCCAGAAACCTTCAGGTACCCTCATTACCATCGATAATGTCCAGCTCAAGAGCCCTCTCTTGGCCCGAGCCTGCCTCATTGGCTTTATCACACAGGACAAAGAGTCCAAGCTTGGAGCTGAACTCTGGGGTCAAGCCTCCTATGCTGCGTTGCCCAGAGCAACTATTTCACCTCTCTCTGCCTGAGCATCCTCTTTAAAATAACTGTGTAAGAAGTGTCACAGCTGTGTGTAAAGCGGCTGTCAGGAGAAAATGTCCACAGAGCAGTGCTGAGCACGGAGCACAAGCACATCTGCTGGTTTTTTTTTTAGTGTTGTTTTATGTGTGTGTGCACATGTACCACTTGTGTTCCTGGTGCCAGCAGAGACCGGAAGAGGGTGTCAGAGTCCCCGGAACTAGGATTATGAGTGGTTGTGAGTAGCCATGTGGGTGCTAGGAACCAACGCCAGCTCTTCTGCAAAAACAAGTACTCTTAACCTGCTTAGCCATCTCTCTAGTCCCCCAAGATGCTAGCTTTTTTTTTTTTTTTTTGGTTTTTCGAGACAGGGTTTCTCTGTGTAGCTTTGCGCCTTTCCTGGAACTCACTTGGTAGCCCAGGCCGGCCTCGAACTCACAGAGATCCGCCTGGCTCTGCCTCCCGAGTGCTGGGATTAAAGGCGTGCGCCACCACCGCCCAGCAGATGCTAGCTTTTGATCGTATTGCCACTCCCAGAGAGTGTGCTACACACACATGCCTCTGCACACATCGCTCCTCACCATACGTGCCCCTGTTAGTTTGATTTCTACTGCTGTGATAAAAGCCATGACCAAAAGTAACTAGAGGAGAAAAGGGTTCATTTCATCTTATACTTCAGGAAAGTCCACCACTGAGGGAAGTCAGGGCAGGAACTCAAGCAAGGCAGGAACCTGGAGGCAGGAACTCAAGCAGAAGCCATGGAGAAATGCAGCTTACTGCCTTGATCCTCCTGACTTGCTCAGTCCGTGTTCTCCGGACCACTCTCCCAGGGATGGCATCACCTACCTTGGGCTGAACTCTTCCACATCAATCATAAATCAAGAAAATACCCCTACAGGATTGCCACAGGCCAGTCTGATGGGGACATTTTCTCAGCTGAGATTCCTTCTTCTCAGATGATTCTACTCTGTGTCAAGTGTTCTGGTGGAGGCTCCACCTCAGCCCCTGGCACCCTGGCGTCCATATACCCAAAGAATCTGGAATGTTCTAGTGGAAGATCCACCTCAACTCCCCTCCCCCATCTCTTTCCCCAAACCCATCCCCTCAAAGCCTGCCAAACACAGCTCCTCCCCCAGAGATGCTCAAGACCACTCCCATAGGGTATTTAAGCTGCATCCCAGAAACTAGACATGTAGTTTTCCGGTCTTTTGTCCCGTTTCCTCTCTGGGGGGCTAGAGAATCACCCAGGAATGCTCTACCCATTAAACCAGGGCTTTTTCTAATTCGGTCTGATTTGGTCTGATTTGGATTGCTGCGTCAGCAGAGAGGGCTATCGGGATGCAAAAACCTTTCATCTGGAGGTTCCACCGAGGGAGGTGGATTTTCCCCCACCAGCCCAGGGCCACATCGTGGGAAAACACCCCTCTCCCCCATACCTGCTCTCTGCCAGACTAAGATCGGCTCTCAGCTGGGTAAGTTGTCCTTTCCAAGTCCTTGCCTAGGAGGGCCTCTGATTTTTGGGGAGTCCTGCCAAAGATGCGGCCCCACCAGGCCCCTGACCTGTTCCAGAACAAAGGGCTGCCTTTGTTCTGTGGGACCCCTTCTCCAGAAGACTTCTGTTGAAGGGAATTTCCCACCCCACCCCACCCCCATTTTTTGACCCAAGGCCTACCACAGTGGAGGCATTTTGCTAGGCTTTGGGTCCCCAGCATAGACTTGTGAAATGGGCACATGCAATTTGAAGCTGGATCCCCAAACGCCCCTGGGCTGTCTTTTACAAAATCTATTCAAATTGGGGCTATCTAATACCATCTGTCCTGAACGCTTGATTTCTCTGAGCACTAAGGCCTGGCCACAGTATGCTCTCGATTATCAGTCAAGGTGGCCTCCTGAGAAAACTTTAGAATTTTCCGTCCTTTGTGATCTTGAAAATTTTGTTGGCTTGGAGATAATTGGACAGAACTGCCCTATGTCCATGGTTTTTGAGTTCTGCATTCCCACCCTCCCCGCAGAGGCCAATGTCCCACAGCACTGGTCTTGTTGGCTAGGGTCATGGTGCCTCTAGATTCCCGCCTATTTGGGAACTGGGATCCTGAAAATTCCACTCTGACCATGCTGCCAGGGACACTGGCCCCTCCCCCACTTCTCCAAACTCTACCTACCCAACCCCCTCCCATGGGGCCACATGTTCCATTCATTGGCAGGAACCCTGGCCCCTCCTCCACTTCCCCAGAACTCTACCTACCCAACCCCCTCCTATGGGGCCACAAATTGAAGACCAAATACCTCCTCTTTACCCTCCTTCCTGTCCTCCCCTCCCCACTGCTTCCCCCATCTTCCAATGCCTCAACCTACATCTTGGTTCCCTTTTACACACTGGCCTAACACCCCCGAATTTTCCCCGGTTTCTTCTCATACTCGGTCTCTGCCTTCCCACCCATATCATTTCTCAGTCAGCATCAGATATTATAAAGAAATTTAAAAAGGCTGAGCAGGGTCCCCAAACTCCCCATCAGGAATTGATGAAATGTCTTTTAAAGTTTTTAATGCTCGAGAAGAGATAGCCGAGTCAACCCGACAGACAAGGCTGCAACAGAAGTCTATGCTCCAAGCCCAAGCCTTAGCAGCTGCCCTGAGGCCACCAGGGCCCCCCTAAGGGGGACAAGGGAAGTTCACCACAAGGCTCCATCCTGCCAGAGCTCAGCCCAAGTCAACTCTGCCAGAAACCTGCTTCAAATGCAGCAAGCAGGGCCACTGGTCACAGTATTGCCCTGACCCCCAGCTGCCCAGGAGCCATGCTCTGACTGCCGACAGCCTGGGCAATGGAAATCGGAATGCCCCCATGTGGGCTCGTCCTCTATGCCGTGCCATGGACGTCCAGCCTCAACAACATTGGCAACAGAGACTCTTCTGGCCTTTGAACTTCTAAGCCTGGCGGAAGACTGAGGCGGCCTAGACTTGGTGACTCCCATTGCCCTCTTCAAGCCTAGGGTGACGCTGCAGGTCACCTTGATGGCCTGCGCTCTTGGACACCGCACTCTCTCCCGGGTATTTCACAGGTCCAGTCACAGGGGCCCTCCAGATACGTCGGCCTCTGCACCAGCTGAGGCCACCAACCCGGCGAGGATTGGCAGTGTCATGGTGCTCCTATCGGAAGCTCTGACCATCTCCAGAGCTCCACATTCCCTATAGCTCACAGTCCTCCTCGGGAAAGGTTGAGAAGGCCAGTGGGCTCATCAAACAACAGCTTACCAAGCTTTCCATTGAACTCAAAAACAGGTGCCTGAGGTCTCCAGGATGACAATTAACCAATGCTCCTTCACTCACACCTGCTGAATGTGAGCCCATGAACTCGCGACTCCCCACTTCCCCACGTCGCCCCATGCCCAGAGGAAGGAGCCAGACTTGAACTGGTGTCTCTATACCCAAAGAGTCTGGAATGTTCTGGTGGAAACTCCACCTCAGGCCCTGGCACTCTCACATCTATATACCCAAAGAGTCTGGAATGTTTGGGTGGGAGCTCCACCTCAACCCCTGGCACCCTGGCATCCATATACCCAAAGAATCTGGAATGTTCTAGTGGAAGATCCACCTCAACTCCCCTCCCCCATCTCTTTCTCCAAACCTGCCTCCTCAAAGCCCGCCAAACACAGCTCCTCCTCCAGAGATGCTCAAGACCACTCCCACAGGGTATATAAGCTGCACCCCAAAAAACAGACAGGTGGTTTTCTGGTCTCTCATCCCCGTTTCCTCTGGGGGGCGGGGGTGCTGGAGAATCACCTGGGAACACTTTACCCATTAAACCAGGGCTTTTTCTAATCCGGTCTGATTTGGATTGCTGTGTTCAGCGGAGAGGCCTATCAGGGTGCACAAAAACCACTGAATGTTCCACCACCACCTTTCTGTTTGCTCAGCCCAGAATGCCATTCTCTGCTTGCCAGCTCTAGCTCACCCTTAAAGGACTTGATGTTATGAATTATTGCGCGCGCGGGGGGGGGGGGGGGGGGGGGGGGGGGTGGGGGGTGGGGGGGGGCGCTGAGGGTATCCTGCCTGCGCAGGGGAAACATGCTGGGCAGATGCATGCCATGCGGGCATGCACAACCCAGACGCTGCATCCACATGGAGAGTTTATTATAATAGAGAGATGAAGAGAAAGATAGGAAAGAGAGAAGAGAGAGAGGTCAAGGGTGCACACCTCGTGGGAGGAAAAAGCAGAAGAGAGGAAGGGGAGGAGTTTTTCTTCAAAAGGGGGCTTTACGTCAGGACGCAGGATGGTGCCAAGGGGCAGGTCAGAATGTTAACACTGGATACCTCTCATTTCCTCCAGGTGAGTACTTATTTACTGTTACATAGTGCTGCTCAGACTGACCTAGGCTGTGACAGATGTCAGAGGCTTATGAAACCAGCCTTAGGCCACACAAACACATTTTCCTGAAGGGTTCATTTATTCTTTTTTTTTTGGGGGGGGGGTTGTTTTTTTGTTTTCGAGACAGGGTTTCTCTGTGTAGCTTTGCGCCTTTTCTGGGACTCACTTGGTAGCTCAGGCTGGCCTCGAACTCACAGAGATCCGCCTGGAGTTCATTTATTCTTATGTTAAAACAACTACTTCAGACATATCATTGGAGTCTAGAGTCAAATATAAAATTGGCCGATTTTATTTATTTATTCATTCATTTATTTATTTTGGTTTTTTGAGGCAGAGTTTCTCTGTTTAGCCTTTGCTATCCTGTAACTCACTCTGTAGACCAGGCTGGCCTCGAACTCACAGAGATCCACCTGCCTCTGCCTCCTGAGTGCTGGGATCAAAGGTGTGCACCACCACATCAGGCTTAAAAATTGGCAGATTTTAAAAAGACAAAACCTCCAAAGCTACACAGAGAAACTCCCCGCCTCCCAAAAAAAAAGACAAAACACAGAACTCCTGAGAATACTCAGAGACTGCATCGGTGTGGCAGTGGAAGGTTTAAGAGGCAGGGACACTGTGAGCCCAAAGGCTCGGGACACATGAGGGTAAGCAGGGTAACTCCAGCCCAACAGGAGGCGTCACCTGCACTGGAGGCTTCTGCAGGATGGTCGCTCTAGGCCCTTACCCCAGATGCTCCGCTTCCTAGGAACGGGCACCTCTGTGTCTTTAGACTCCTAGGTTGCCTGGGGGCAATGCTTATATTACATGAGTTTTTTGTTTGTTTGTTTGTTTTTTAATTGTCCCCATATGTAGGCCTTATCTCACCAAGTCCATCCTAAACATCTGGAGTGCAGGTGTTTGGCTAGCCTGGTGGGGCAGCTGTGAACGCTGCTGCTAGCTTTGCTGTTTGCTGACTGTGCAGAGAGAGCATTTTCCCTCTCAGCCTCAGTTTCTTTATCTGTAAAGCATAGACAATACTCATCTAATGAGATTGTCCTCAGGTCTCAGCTGATCACATGCATGAAGTGTTGAGCACAGCAGGAAAGAGTAAGCACTTAGCAAACCTGCCACCCTGCCCAGCGGTGCCAGGCTCTCAGAGAGCATCTGCTCCTCCAGTATCCCCATCCCTCACGGCACCCCTCCTCCACCCACGACTGCATGTTCACAGTAGATTTACCTAGAGTTTCCAGACTTCCCTCCCTTAACACTGACCTCACTCACACACGTCCTGTCGTGGGGCACCACTCCTGATTGTATACACTGTGTAATTAAGCTGCTGTGCGACTCCATCTAAAACGAAGGACAAAAGCAAACTGTTCCTTTGATCTCATCCACTTTCTAGCCCCCACTCCAGTCTCCACTCACAGGAAAGTGTTCCTCGAAGAACTGCCATGTGCTCACGTGGGCAGCATACACTAACATTGGAATGGAATCTGTGAAGCACCCCAGATCTTTCTTTCCCATAGTCCACTGGTGGAGCCAGAAGCCACTTCTGCCGCTGTCCCTTCCCCAGCATAATACTGACTTTAGCCATGAGCCACAATAAATCTTTCCTCCTTTCAAAACAAACCCAAACCGACAAGCTCCCTGTGTCCAGCTCTCCAGGCAGCCTCTTGCCATCACACCACAGAGCTGTTCTTACCAGTTTCCAGGGACCTCTGTGAGGCTGAATCCAGCAGGACCCTCTCAGATTGCATTTTCCCAGCTTCCTGGGAACACCTAAAGGCTGAGACCCTCTGCCGAGACTCTCAAGCCCCTTCACCCCCTCTGCTGTTCTGGTCTTCCTGTGGCTCTACAGGCTCCTCCCACCCCATCTCCTCTGTTTTATCCTCCCATTCTTTGGCCTAAGTGTAGGGCTGGGCTGTCTGTGGATCCCTCTTCTCTCTATACCCCTACCTTTTCCCCCCAGAGATAGCATTTCACTGTGTAGCCTTGGCTGTCCTGGAACTCACTCTGGCCTGGAACTCATAGAAATCCTCCTGCCTCTGCCTCCTGAGTCCTGGGATTAAAGGTGTGTATCACCACCACCTGGCTCTCTATATGCTTAATATATTGTTAGACTGATTGATTGGTGGATTTTTCTTTAGACTTTTTAGGGTCTGTCTATGTAGTCCTAACTGTCCTATTAGTCTCTACATAAACCACGTGACCTTGAACTCACGGAGATCTTGAGTTTTTGGAGAAAGGTCTTGCTGCGTTACCAGATGGCTTTCGAACTTCAGTCCTGAATCAGGTTCTAGAGTGTTGGGGTTACCATGAGCACCACTGTGCCCAGCTCATTCTTGTGACCTTAAATGCCATCTGAAAGTTCCCCAAAGTTAGATCTCAAATCTAAGACCTCTCCAGACTTCCAGATTTACCGTATCTTCTGCCTACACCCCATCTTCACTAGGATGCGTTGCAAACACTTCAAATGTAACATATTGACTGGGGGTGTAGCTCAGTCATAGAGCACTTGCCTATTATAGGCAAGACCCCAGGTTCCACCCACAGCACTCCCCCAAAGCCAAAATGTCTTGGTTCTCTTCCTACTCTCCTCTTCCCACAGTCCTCCCTGCCACAGGCCTCCCTGCCACAGTCCTCCCTGCCACAGGCCTCCCTATCTACTATGAGATATCTGGTCTTCTAGTCACTCAAGTCAAAACTTGAGTGGGGAGTTGTTATTCTTGGCTCCAGGCCCTCAAATCCAGTCAAGATCAGCAACCCCTAGTGGTCAGCTGTCCCCTCAAAATCAAATCTGACCCCTTCTTGCCAGCTCCATCTCCCCACCCTGCTCCAAATCACCACTGTCCCCCTTTCCAGACAGACTTCATTAGCCTGCTGAGCAGAATGCTTTCCCCACCTGTCTGTTTCCCCAACTCCACAGACTGTTTCCACCCACAGCTGCAGTCATATTTTCAGAACATAAGTTCAGTGATGTCATTCCGTAAAGCCGCGCAGTGTCTCCTCTCTCTGTAAAATCCACATTTCTATCACGGTCTGCAGTGCCCGGCGGGACTGGTCTGCTACCTGTCTGGCCTCATTCCCTGCTGTCTTCCCCTTGTCCCCTGGGTTCTGACCTTCACATTCTTGTGTGGGTAGGCTGGAAGCGTTCCTGCCGCTGAGCCTTTCTTCCCGTCATTCCTTCTGTCTGGAACATTTACACAGGTACGAGCCTTTCCCCTCCTTCCTTCACGTCTCTTCTCCAACGCAATCTCGCTTCCTGTCCACCTCCTCCCAAATATCACCTCAGCATTCTCTGACGCCCTACAGACCCCCTCACCCTAATCTACTTAATGTTGACCACCACATGACATGGAACTAATTTCCATGCTCGTTTTGTTATGTTTCAGTGGTAGTAACACCCATGGAGAGCTACGGTGCCAGGAATTTAATAGTTGCTCATAAGCTGGGCACGTCAGGCAGGTTTTTTGCTGTCTTGTCAGGGAACGTGACTCAGAGTGCTTTTCTAAGTATTACCAGGGGACACCGAGGCTGCTCAGCTCTTGAAAAGACTGCCTTAGACAGATATGGAAGCCCAGTGGTGTAGTAACACAAGCCTTTTATCCCAGCACTCAGGAGGCAGAGGCAGATGGATCTCTGAGTTTGAGGCCAGCCTGGGCTACAGAGAGCTTCCAGGACAGCCAGGACCACACAGAGAAACCTTGTCTTGAAAAACCAAAAAAAAAAAAAAAAAAAAAAAAGCCAGCAACACAAAAGCCTTGAGCTGACTCTCTCTCCTGCCTGCGTACCATTTGGGAGCTGCTGGGTAGAGTAGAGCCATATTAAGGGACTAAAGGTCAGGATTTCAGGCTTAATATACTTTATTGCAAGCGTTAGTGAATTCCTTGATTCTCATCTGCCAACATGTGGCTTTGTGCCAGGCTGTGCTGGATTTACCACAGGTCAGAGTGTGGCAAGCATCTGGTGGTCATGATTAGGCTCTGGAGGTGTTTGGCTTCAGCTACACAGGTTCTCAGGAGCATTAGGGGCTTGTTGCTTAGACAGAGAAGAGGCTGAACCAGGAAGACCTCCACAGTCAGCCTGATGTTTCTCCAAAGCTGAGCTGAGCAGAGCAGCATCTACTGGCCATGGATTCTCTCCTGAACTTCTTGGTGGCTAGGAGGTGTTAAGGGAAGGACAACCTAGGTGGTACCTCAGAGCGGGTAGAGATGCCAGAGGCTGTGGACGATAGGGTGGGAGGAGGGATGCAGAGCAGAGTCAGTTCTATTCCCTGATGGACCTCAGCAGTTCCTAACTACTGCCTCTGGTTCTGGGGCTTTGGCGAACCCCTCGGTACTCACAGATAGGCCCATGGGCCCCGTATATACTCTTCCCCCACCATTAGCTCATAAGGTAAGGATCACTAAAGGGGTCTATCTGGAGCCAGGCACCTGGAAGACGCTTCTTGCTTGTCAGGAGGGACCCCTAAGTCTGTACCCTGTCTCCTAGTCAGGGCAGCCCCTACGCAGACCAGAGGGTGGTAACTCCTGGAGAAGGCCCTGGTTCCCCTGAAAGCTGAGCGGTCTGTCCTGACCTGCATTGGAAGCGGGGGTCTTCAGGGTGTGTCTTCAGCACCTGGTGCACCTCTAGGGGGGGCTTCAAGCCCATCTGCTCTGCCCGATGCCAGCGCTGTAGCCGTGTGATACCTGCCAGGGCAGAAAGAAGACTCAGCATGGGCAGAAGAGTTCAGGCTAGAGAATGCAGAGGGCAGTTTCTGGAGCATGACACATGTCAGGCTCAGGAGACCGTGTCCAAGAGTTAGGCAGGGACTTGGATTATTTCTGAGACACATCGATGACAGAACTGGTTCAGAGATGTGCCTGATGGGCTGGAGGTGGGGTTCTCACCTGTGCAAGGCCCATACTGCCAGGCCAGGTCAAACTGCCTCAGCAACTCCAGCTCTGCGTCCTCCTGGCTGAGGGACTGGATGTCTTCCCCTGCAATAACATGGGGCTCCTCAGGGCCATCCAGGCCTTTGCCCTACCCTGGAATTACAGCTGTGCCACTGTGTCCTGGCTATAGCCTCCTCACTCATTTGCCTTTGCCATCCTGCAGCCAGACAGCTCATCGGAAGTGCGAGACATGCTAGCTTCCCCTACTAGCCAACACAAACACACACACACACACACACACACACACACACACACACACACACGCACGCACGCACACGAGTCCTTTCTGGTCTTTGCTTGTCCACTCTTCCTGCCACTCCCACATTTCAGAGACCTAGCTCTGGTGCCAGCTCCCCCTTGCAGTGCCCAGGGGGCCCCTCCCTCTTCTTCACAACAGGGTAGGAGTCAGTGATGAACCGCTTCCGGCCCATGGCGGCCACCCAGGCAGGCGGAGCAGGAGGCAATAGCGGGAAAGAAAAGGCAGGGCAGCGGGCCTGTGAGAGACAGCTGCTGAGAGTGAGAGAGGGCCAGAGAGAGATGGGCCAGCGATGGACAGACAAGTTGACCCAGACAAGCAGAGAGAGGAAGTCCCTAGGTTCCAGAGAATGACGCCTGTCTTCCGCCCCCACAAGCTCGCAAACATCAGAGACCTAAGCAAATGGCAAGCGGCCTTTGTGGGGCGGGGCCCCACCGCTAGCCAATGGCAGTTGGCAGAGGGCAGGGGGCGGGGCAGCTGCTGCTGCGTTCGCAGCGAGGAGAGCTTAGGCGGAACCAAGGACCTGTCAAGATGCCCCAGACTTCACCACCTCCCCTGGTCCCTCATTGGTCCACTCGGGTCCCCAGGGACATATAGAGAGTTATCCTCGGCCTCTCACTTCCCGTTTTTCCTTCCTAGGCAAATGTTCTTTTCAGCCTCACTAATCCCCGTGGCCAGTTTGTAAGTCCCCTGAGCCCGGCTGGAACCTTTTACTCCTGCTGGTTGGCCCCAGAGCGTTGTGGGATCAGATCTGTAGGTCCAAAGAGAGTTTGGACGAATCCGGGCCCTTCCCTGCTCCTACCGGCCCCAGGAGACCTGGCTGGAGAAGCCCATGGGCTCAGAAGGCTCCTTTCTCACAGTCTGCTGGCAGAGACACTGTCCACCCAGCCCAGGCATGCGGTTGCTGTGTCCACTGTCAGGCCCGACAGCCTGCCGCTGTCCACTTTGCTAGTCAGGAAGATTCCATTCCAAGCAGGACGCCAAAAGTCTAGTCCCATGGGTTCAGATCCCCAGGCTGTTTTTTTTGTTTTTTTTTTTGTTTTTTTTTTTGTTTGTTTTTTTTTTCCTTTTTGGTTTTTCAAGGCAAGGTTTTTCTGTGTAGCCCTGGCAGTCCTGGAACTTACTCTGTAGACCAGACTGGCCTCAAACTCACAGATTACCTCTCAGAGATCCTCCTGCCTCTGCCTCGCGAGTGCTGGGATTAAAGGCATGCGCCACCACTGCCCGGCATAGATCCCCAGTTCTTAATTGACAGACCTGTTCTGTTTCTTATGAATGTGTATATGGGCAGAAAACAATATCATAAACCTTACCCTCATAGTGGACTTGCCATGTACCAAGTGCTGTCCTAAGTGTTTCCCACATACTAACTCAAAATAGACATCAAAAGAGTTTCGCGCCGGGCGGTGGTGGCGCACGTCTTTAATCCCAGCACTCGGGAGGCAGAGCCAGGAGGATCTCTGTGAGTTCGAGGCCAGCCTGGTCTACAGAGCGAGATCCAGGATAGGCATCAACACTACACAGAGAAACCCTGTCTCGGAAAAACAAAACAAAACCAAAAAAAGAAAAAGAAAAAAGAGTTTTGCAAGAGGGTGTAGGTAAATTGTGATCAGGGTTCTTAGTAACCCTGTGTAACTACCCTCCCTGTGCTCCAGAAGCTCACAGGCTTGCAGGGTAGAGGGGCATCTAATTGTCAGTCCTGGACGGGAGAGCAGAAGAAAGAACTCCTCAGAGCTAGAGGAGGAGGTAGGCATGGGGAGAAGGCCTCCAGGAGGCCGACTGCTGTAAACAGTGTCTCTCAATTCTCCACCCATGACCTTTGTCTTGGGGCTCCTCTCATGGCTGACTCACCCTGACTGCCACCTCCCCCTCACCAGCTTCCTGGCAGCGGGTGAAAGTGCTGGCCAGTGGGAGTCTGGGAACCAGCACTGGACTGACCCAGCACTAATCACCCTCTGGAGATCCCATCCAGTCCTTCCTTCCAGGGGTGCAAGGTCTAATGATGGCTGCTTGGAGGCCTGCGCCCCCTTCTCTGAAGCTCTGAGATCTGGCTTGGCAAGCACTGGGCCTCTCATGTGTGTGGCAACAGAGAAGAAGATCTCTAGCGAGGAGCCCACCAGTGGGGAGGAGAAGGCTCTGTCCCCAGGGGCCTCCCCTTGCCTGGCCTTCCCCATCAGCTTCTTGAGGAGGAGGGACTGTAGGCACACTGCAAAGACCTGGAAGGCCCTTCTCTGCCCCATTGTTTGGATTGGCCCAGGTCTGATCCCCCATCTGTCTCTTGGACAAGTGGGGCCCACATCTAGTGAGAAGGGACCCTGCAGAGTTGGGGAGGGTGACAGGGAGGATTCTCTACCAGGAAGGGAAGGGCATAGGTGTTAGGTCTGGTCAGGCTGAGTGCCCTATAGTTGGCTAGCTTCTAGGCTCTGTGGGACTGACCACTCCTCCCTAAAAGGGCCTCAGAAAGGGACTCTGGGACCGTTCCCAAAGGTATGTGGCACCCACTTCCTGAGTCCACAAAGCCCTGAGGGAGCAGGGAACCATGGGTGGGGCAGACCCCTCCTCATTCCTGGTCCCTCCCACCCCTGAAAGCTGATAGCCGTGGGGCCTGCCACCGCCCAGGGAGCGTGAAATGGGGTGTGCCGCTGGGCGGCCACAGCAGCTCCCACTGCTGCCTGGGCCCATTCCCCTCTCTCCTTTGGCAGCCCCTGACACCCCAACCTGCTCTGTGGAGGGCCATCCCTACCTGCTCCCCCTCCCAGCTCTGCCTGGCTCAGACCCAGCTAGCCTCTCCCACATTGTCTGGAAAGATATCTCCCATGGGCTTTAGCTTCCCTCAGCCCCAGAGAGAGGTCCAAAGTGTTTACCTGAATGCAGGGACCCTAGGACTGGCCTTCTGGCCTGGGGTGAGACAGCTCTCCCCAGGAAGCATGCTCTTTCTCCCAGTCAGCACTGAGACCACCCTGGCCTGCTCAACATCAGATGGTTCTCTCAGGTGTCTGGGGAAATGACTAGCTCTTGGCCTTCTATCTTTGTATGTTTTCCTCCATTCTTTCCTAATCTCATCCTTTCCTCCTGCCTGGAACACCTTGCCTGACTCAGGCAGCTTCCCAGGCCCATCCACCAAACTGCTGTTCAGTTCTCGGATTGGAGACCAGGTTGGTAGTCTGAGTTGGGGCTCAGTTCTGTCTTGTATGCAAAGTATCCTTGGTCAGCACTGACCCCCCTAAGCCGGTGATAGAACTAGAAGCAGTTAACTCTTGCACCTTGGAAAATACCTAAAACCTTGCCATGTCCAAGGTCAAAGTCCTGGGGAGACGAGGAAAGCAAATAATGTGAACAGAGAAGGCCAGCACCCTTCTGGGGCTGAGACTCACTGCTGACTGCTCCAGTTGGCAAGCAGATTAAGCGTGGCTTCCCTCAGTGTGGCAGTTGGGGTGGGGTCAGCACTGTACACACACAAACACATCCTGAAAGCCCCCCTCCCCAGTGTAAGTGGGTCATGTGGAGAGCGCCAGGTAGAGCTGAGAAGATGGGGCACGGAGAAGAGAGGACGAGCAGCTGCCCAGGGCTCAGTGGGGATGGAAGGGTACCCCACTCTATCCCTGTCTTTAACCCCACCCCTTCCTCAGGCCCTGCCACTCACCCTGAGCAGGAGATCAGTCCAGCTCAGGGGATTCTAGGCAGCCAGATGAACACCCCAAAAGCTTCTTACTCATCCCTCCCTTCATCCCTTTCCCATGTGCCACATTCCCTCAGCAGCCCCTTCCTAGTCTCTCCCCTCTCAGACACAGCTCCTTAGCCTGCTAGGTTCTGGGGTTCATGGATTTAAAGGTTGGGAACCTTGGAGAATAGGAAGGCTTCCCTGGGTCTCTAGTGTCCTTTCTGCCGTACCCAGGAATTTCCTGTACCCACTCCGATCAGCTCCCCTTTCACCTGGGTCAACCAACAGGTCAGAAGAAATTCTGGGGAAGATTTGAAAAAGCATCCTTCTGATCATTCCTCACTGTGGCCACCAGGTGTCAGACTTTGTCCAGAAGGGAAGAGGTCCTAGCTAGTCCCTAAGAGCCACGTCCTAGAGGTCAGGCAAGTTGGGGAGGGACCTCCAAGTTATCTCTGAACTAGCCAGGCTACGGACCCTGAAGGTTAAGATAAAAAGGGACTGGAACCCAGACCCACAGCTCTCTCACACTCGTTCCCTCACTACCTCTGTCACTGCCCTGCTACAAGGGTTTTGTCCCCTCCTACTAGGGAATTTGGATACCAGACTGAGTCAGGGAGCTCAAGAATCCAGAGGACAAAGGCAGGGGTAATTACGGCTCCAGAGAAGAAGGGAGAACTCAGCGGAAACAACCGTCAGAATATGCAGCCAGGCCTGAATCGCTGACCTTTGTGCTGGAGGCTCGGGGAACAGAGGGCCGCCCTCTGCCTTCTCCATTTTGGGTAGCTGTGGCAGTGGCAGCTGGTGAATGTGTTTGTGTTAAGAGAAGTGCTTGGATGAGTTCCCTCGCTGCTGAGGGGTCCCTGTGTCCTGGGTGCTTGTCATTCTCTGGTGAGCTATGTTGAGTCGCCTCGACCCAGAGCCTCCTCAGTGCTGGCTCTTAGCCTCCAGGAAGCTGCCTTTTCTCCTCGGTGCCAGTTTTGTCTCCCGTGCATCTTCTCAGACACAGGTGCATCTCCAAGCACTTAAGACAACAGCGAGGTTTCCAATACATATGTGTTCTCTGGAGACAAGGAGGGTGTCAGCCCCTTTCTTCTCCCCTCCTGCTCCCCCCCCAAGGACACAGGGCTTCTGGAGACCGTGCATCTAGGCAAGAGGTGGGGCAGAGTAAGAGGGGGCACTTTTCAAGACTAAGGACCAGCAAGACAGGATTGGCAAAGTCAAAGTCGGGACATGAGGGACCCCAGGGCGCTAGCAGTGGGGTTGTTGGGCAGTTGTGAGCCGTTGTGCCATACACTAAAAGCAGAGTAGACAGCAGAAGGACCAAGAGCAGGGAATGGACCGGAAGAGATGCTTCTTGTGGGGAGCGCTGCAATTCCCACGTACAGAAAGCTAGTGTGGGCTTAAAGTAGCCACAGGTGAGAACAGGTTCAGAGAGAGCATTTCAGAGCTTTAGTTCTCTCTCTCTCTCTCTCTCTCTCTCTCTCTCTCTCTCTCTTTCTCTCTCTCTTTCTGTTTCTAGTTTTTCAAGACAGTCTCTTGTAGCTCAGGCTGACTTTGAATTTACTATGTAAACGAAGGCTGGCCTTGAACTCAGAGATCTACCTGCCTCTGCCTCCTGAGTGCTGAGATTAAAGTCGTGCACAACACTGCACAACTCTTAAGTGTGGTCTTAAGAGTCAGAAGTCCAGGTACTGAGAAACCAATACACAAGTCTACCTGGACCCTTCAGTGTCATAGAGGGAGGGCACGGTCTCCAGAAGCCCTGTGTCCTTGGGGGGGAGCAGGAGGGGAGAAGAAAGGGGCTGACACCCTCCTTGTCTCCAGAGAACACATATGTATTGGAAACCTCGCTGTTGTCTTAAGTGCTTGGAGATGCACCTGTGTCTGAGAAGATGCACGGGAGACAAAACTGGCACCGAGGAGAAAAGGCAGCTTCCTGGAGGCTAAGAGCCAGCACTGAGGAGGCTCTGGGCAGGGGCGAGCTGTTTCTGGTTTGGTAGGAAATGCCACTAAGGGGACTCACAAGAAAAATGTGTCTGCTCAGATCATTTGGTTCTTCCCAGCAAGCACCTAGATTCTCTCCTTTTCGTCTCTTCAGTTCGTACCCCAAATCTCTCCATTCTTCAGCTACCACCCCCACATTTGGCAATAGCGTGTTTAGATAGCTTTTCTTTAAAACGGACTAACAATAAGCCTCCCTTTATACTGTCCCTTCATGACAGGACGCTGAGAATATGTATTCACTTCTGCGTTCTTCACACTGTATCTTTCTTGGACTCTCTCCTACTATTTCAAGGGTTCCTATGGGGTGGGCACGGTGGCACATGCCTGTCATCCAGCCTCAGGACACCGAAGCAGGAGGATCACTATGAATTTAAGTGAGCCTAGTCTACATAGCTCCCTACATCCCAAAACAAACAAATCACCTGTACTTTCCTAACTGCCTTAGTGTGTTTTCAGGGGTGTTCATCCAGCTGCCTAGAATCCTCTGCGCTGGACTGATCTCCTGCTCAGGGTGAGTGGCAGGGCCTGAGGAAGGGGTGGGGTTAAAGACAGGGATAGAGTGGGGTACCCTTCCATCCCCACTGAGCCCTGGGCAGCTGCTCGTCCTCTCTTCTCCGTGCCCCATCTTCTCAGCTCTACCTGGCGCTCTCCACATGACCCACTTACACTGGGGAGAGGGGCTTTCAGGATGTGTTTGTGTGTGTACAGTGCTGACCCCACCCCAACTGCCACACTGAGGGAGGCCACGTTTAATCTGCTTGCCAACTGGAGCAGTGAGCAGAAACCTCCACTTTCTTCTCTCAGTTTCTCTGGAGCATGAGACTGCTGATCAGCTCTCAACTTCTAAAACTCTCTTGTTTTGGACAGGTTTTATATCAGTTTAAATCGAATTACCAAGGACTTTACTGTCAGGAAATATGCTGAAACACTGTCTGGATGTACGGGTAGGCAGTCCTGGAGCCTGCCCTCAAAATGCTGTCTGCCTGAGGAGACTCACTTGCGTCCTGCCCTGTCTCCTCCACCTGTCCAAAATCTTCCCACCTTCTGAGAATGGTTTTGAATCCCACCCTGTGCTGTTTTCAAAGAGTGCACTGAGCGTTTGCTGTACCACGCACTATAAATACGTCAATTGCTTCAGGCACTGCTCCCTTCCCAAGTACCACAGCCTAGACCCTTCACCCCATTAGGTACAGCCCTCTGTCCTAGACTTACTTTTGCAGGGGTCTGCCTGCCTGACTCCCTACCCTTCTTGATATTCATTGGTTCTTTTTCAAAACATCATGTGGGTTCCAGAGATAAAATTCAGGCTGTTTGGCTTGGCCACAAGCGTCTTTACCCACTGAGCCATCTTGCCGGCCCATTGCCTAGGTCTTTCTCCATTTAAGCAAATCTGCCTTGTGGCATCCTAGCATTTCTGGGAGATGGTCCTACTCCCTTTTTTAATTGTTTTGTTCCCCCTTACAGAATACACCTTTAGGCTGGAGTCTGAGCTGGGTGCTAAGAGCAGAGCACGGTGGTGTATGCCTGTTAGCCCAGCACTGCAGGCGTGAGGGCAGACTTCAAGTTCAAAGGCAGCCTATGTCACAGAGTGGGAAAAAAGATGGGGGAGGAAAAGGAGGGAGAGAGAGAGGAGAGGGAGGAAGCGGGGAGGGAGAGACAGAAGGAAAGAAGGAACAGAGGAGGAGGATACTAAAGAGAAAGACTTGGAGCCTCGTGAACTCCTCGAAGAACCTACTGCCTTCCTCCGAGCCCATGTAATGTTTCCGTATCACAAGCCAAGACGCTTTTACCTGTGTGTAGAGAAAGCCCTGATGCCCTTTCTAGTGTCTCAGGCAGAGGCAGAGTCTTGTGAGTGTCTGGACAGGTGTCTCAGTCCATAGAAGCAGGGCCCGTTCCACTCGGGCCAGGTGACTCTAGGACATGACACTGAGGTTGGCCAGCCCGTGGGCGGTCAGAAGCTCCTCCATGGTCACCCTTCTTTCTCCCTTTTCTAGGGGTCATGCACTTGCCTTACCCACTACATCACACGAATGTGCTTCTACACCTCGTTATTTCAGGGAAGCTGGTCTTTCTTCCCAAGGAGATTGCAAGTTTCTTAAGGGCAGGAGCCAAGTTAGGCCTGAGTCTTCGTTTGGCTTCAGTATACCCAGCCAGCAGAGTGGAGGGCAGGTAATGAGGTCTTTAAAGTATCTGTCAACTGACTGGCACTACCATCATTTGTTACTTCCTTCCTTAAGGCATTATCTTTAGGAAGCTCTTCTCATAAAATATCCATGTGTTTCCTGGGAGCAATTAACCCATGAATTTATCCAGTAGTTCATAGTTAGAATGTCATGGCATAGGGGTGTGTTTCAACTAATCAGTAATTACTACAATGGCTGCTGCTATAGCCAAGTACCTTTAATATTTCTAACAATTGCATAAGCATATTTAATTATCCCCATTTTACAGATAGGGAAACTGAAGACAAGAAAACTTTGTCTAAGGCCATCCAGCTAGCAGGCTATAAAATGATATTGGAGCTTAGATTATCCCTCCCATCCATCCCATTCTCTTGCAATCCACTAAGCATTCTCTTCCTCCAAATAGGGTTTTACATTGGAGGGAAAAGAACAGACCCATAACAAAGAACACCGGCTTGGCTAGTGTCCACCACCCTCCCTAGGAGAAGAGTGGGTGAGGGCTCCAGGAAGGCAGCCACTAATGGGAGCCCGGGGGAGTTTGGGGCTGCATGTCAGGGGTTAGCGATTAGCAAGAGTCAGAGGGGAGCGTAACAGCTCTCCCACTGTGCAGGTTGAACTGGAGTGGAGAGTTCAAGGCCAGACAGGCCTGGGGGACCAGCAGAGCAGTCCAGAGGCAAGGGAGACTAGCAAACGTAATACACACAGCTTCGGGAGGACCGAGGCATTTCAGGTGTGGCAAAGGGATGGATGGGTTCCAGGAGCCTGTGTTGCACCAGGACCAGCAGAAAGAGCCTGCACCCCAAGCTCTGTATACCTCTAGGTATAAGGAAACAATGGGAATTGGCAGGCAGGGCTAGGGTCACCAGCAATGTGCCCCAGGAAGACTGTCAGGCCAGGCAGAGTCCAAGTTCTGGGGAAAGCATTTTATTTGTTAATACAAGAATAGAAATTCTGCAATAAATATCATCTAATAAATAACATCTCCAAATAAATAAATATTAATACAACAAACTTAGAGTCATGAGTGGGTGGGGGCTGGGGGTAGGGCCTGGGGAGCCATCCCCCTCACCCCACAATGCTACTGCAATGTAAACTTTCAGGAAACCCTGTGGCTGTGGCTGCCCTCCCCAGCCCAGGCAGCCACAGATACCCTGGGAAAGGGGTGGAGAGGAGGCACCGAGATGCCGGCAAGACAATTCAAGGCGAGGTCCTGATGCTCCACATGGCTTCTGTTTTCTGCCCTGTGCCACCAACGGCCTTGGCGACTGCTGGGTCTGGTCTGTCCCTGCCCTGCTCTCTTAGTATTACATCTTCTGGTTTCTAGACCACCTCCAGCACAGACCCTACCCCTCCGCTTTCTATCACACCCTTCTTTAGACTGGCCACCTTGTTTCCTGAACTGGATATGTAGTTATTGGGGTAGGGGAGCAACACCCATCCAAGGAGAGGGAGGGAAGCCAGGGGGCTTTACCCCAGAAAGGCACAAGCTACGGCGGCCCCACCCATGCCCTCCAGGTGTGCTTCTGCAAGTGCCACATGAGGAACTGAGTGGGCACTGGCAAGTGGCAGGCAGAAAGCGGGAGGCAGGGAGTATCTTTATACCCACCTGAGCCATTCCACTCCCTCAAGCGTTATCTCTGTGGCAACAGGATAATGCCCACTTCACCTTTTCCCCAGACCCTAGGACTCTAGGAGCTGGTCAGGGGACAGGGCTTATCGAGTTACACTCCCCATCCAAGGCAGAGGAGGACTGAGTTCCCACTGTCTGTTTCCTGGCTCAACAAATGTTGGTATACAGGTTTGTTTTTTCCACCCCAGAATGGAAACACAGCTGACTGGGGCAGGGGACTGGGAGGAGTTAAGGGTCAGAAATCAGAAGCCATGGGCCTCCAAGTGCAGGGTGACGGAAGCTGCCGGTGGCTGCATCTTCTTCTTAAGCCGGTTGAAGTCCTTGGCTGAACGCCACAGCCAGGTCTGCAGCTCCTTCAGCAGCCAGAAGTCATCCATCTTCTGGAGGAAGTCACTGTGGGCAGGGCCAGGGGCCCAGGCTGGCTCAGTCCCTGGCAGAGGCTGGGGCAGTGGGTAGCCGAGAGCTGCCATGACACCTGCAATACTGCCCAGCAGGCCCTGGAGACTGGTGCAGAAATGGGCCAGACTGCGCCGGAGTTCGGCGGTGGCAGCTTGCCGGTTGAGGCCGCGCAAGTAACACAGGAGGTGGCTGTAGGCCTCATAGTTCTGGGTCAGCCGCAGCTTGTCACTGAGGCTTCGCCACACTTCCAAGTTGACAGTGGCCTTGGGCAGGGTCTCGGCCCCCAACCGAGGAGGATTGAAGTCGGGCTCGTTGAAAGGGGGCCCCAGGTAGTTCAGCTGTGAAAAGGAGAGGGCGATGGGGAAGGAGGAGAGCAGAGCTGCCAGCCTGCCACCAGAGGGATACCTCCTCCCAAACATGGTAGGCCTCTGTTCACAGACCTCCTGAGTTTTTCTAGCCCACTGTGTCACTTGCATGGAGGTGACAGGTGAAGCAGTGGGGTGATGAGCTCTCCTATGGAGAGGTGTAGAAAGAGAAGATCACCAAGGAGCCGCTCAGGAAGGACCAAGGACGTGCTGATTGGCTGGGCGGAGAGTGCCCACCACAGGGCAGGGCAGAGAGGAAGAAGACCCCGAGGAGCCCGGAAGCCAGGCTGGAGAGGTAGAAGGTGGCCTCTGAGAGTTCAGGCCAGGGAAGAGCTCCGCAGGGCAATTGCAGAACGCGAGAGGGAGTCGCAGAAAATGCTGTCGGGTTTGGTGAGAAGATGCTTGATGACCTGGGAGAGGCGGTGGCTGTGGCCTGGAAGCCAGATCGCAGGGGGTTAAGGAATGAGTGGGTGGAGAGGAAGTGGAGGCAGAGGGTGTAGACGACTCCTTGAAGAAATTTGGCAGAGAAAGTCAGGAGAGAAAGGGTCGGGAACTAGAGAGGGTAGCAGACTCAAGCTGAGGTTTGCTGCGCAGGGAAACCAGCCAGAAGAGAGTCTGTATCGAAGGCCGAGGGGTCTGGTGGCACCAAAACTCCTCTTCGGTAGGCCCAGTTCCTCAAGCCACAGGGACAAGGGATAGGGGATACTCACCAGCACCCCAGAAGAGGGTTCGGCTGCTAGGAGCAGAGCTGTAAAGGAAGAAACTGAGGACATCTCAAGAGGGATAGGAGAAGGGCATGCAAGGCGGTAGAGTAGAGGGAAGAGGGCAAAGCCCTTGCCAATGCCTCAGGGGATCGGCCTGAGGCCCAGGGAAGGGGATGTGGGAGATGTGCAACTGGGAGGGAGAGAGAAGAGGGGCGAGGCCTGGGAGAGGCAAGGGCCCAGGGGGAGGTTCGCACGCTGACAAGCACAGAGACAAACTAATTTCCTCGGTGTATCCTGGGGCTGGAGCCAGCTCCCCCGCCACCCTCCTCCCCTTCTTCCCTGGCTCAGGAGTAGGGTCTGGGATGTGGAAGAGGAACACGGGAAGAGGGGGCCTGCTCCCCATGGTCTTCAGAGCCTCCTCTTCCCTTCTCTCCTGGGCTCTAGGAAGTTCTCTGGACTACCCTCAGATTCTTAGGGTATAACCACCCTCCATACCCTGAATCCCTTGCTGTCACTGCCCTGGATTCTTTGTAGACCCCTCCTCCGACACCCCCTAAGAGGCCTGTGAAGGATGGGAGAGGCAGACAGAGGGAGGCCCATGGGTCTAGAGCAGCAGGGCCCCAGGTCTGGGGGTAGAGTCAAGCTGGAACACAGGCATAGAAGGTGGGGCCCCTCCATCCCCACCCAGCCCCGCCCTTGCAAGAGACACCACAACACGGTGTAAACAGAGGAGACTTCCCCAGCCCCCAGGGGGAGGCAGGCAGCTGGGCTGGCAGCCAATGGGGCAATGGGCCAAGGCGGGTTCGAGGCCTGCCCACATGCCTTGTCCTGGGGCCAGGATGGGGGGGCACCTGAGAGGGAAGGGCAGGAGATAGGCCAGATGGAGAAACCCAAAAGGCCTCTCTCATCACCCCATCATTCACCAGGACCCCTGCACCATGCTCTCCCCCCCCCCCAAAAGCCTCTGCTCCCTCTACCCAGTGCCCAAAGTGAATGGGATACTCACATAGGTCCCAGCCAAGCTGCGGAGTTGGTGCTCCAGGTAGCGGGTGAGGTCATAGGTTTTCTGGATGGAGGGGCCAGGCCCTGGATCTCCTGTGCGATTAAGAGCTGGTACTGCAGGGAGGTGCCAGAGCACCGTGCATAGGCAAGCTAACATCCCCCACGAGTCCCCTGTGGACAGGATGGGCAAGAAGTATGAGGGTGGGCCCAGGCCCAAGTGGGGAAACAATTGGCAGCCCCTCAGGTGTCTGTCCCCACCTTGGGCTAGGAAGGGGGGTGAGGATGAGAGACCAGATGGGAGGTGGAGGGGGTGGGGGAAGGGAACCACGTCTGGTCCAAGAGTGGATGTGGAGGTATGTCTGCAAGGACGAAGGCCTGGCATCTGTGTCCATCAGTAGATACTTGACTGCATCTGTCAGCTCAAAGTCTTCGGCATGTATGTCACTCTATGTGCCAAAACTGTGTGCGTGTGTGTACTGAGAGGGGCAGGCCAGGCCTGAGGGACCTTATGTCAGTATGTCGAGTTCCAGGTGTGTCCCAGCCTCTTCTCCATGTCTTCTAGTCTCACTGCAGCAGGAACTAAGGGATGGGACTACGGCCTATGTTAATTCTGGCAAGCGTGAGCACGAGCCCTGTGGAAGAGTGAAGGGAGGCAGCAGCACGTGAGGCAGGAATAGGGTTCCGCAGCCAAGGTCAGCCTGAAGGGTCCAAGAGGGTTTGTGGAGTGAGAAGTGGTGGGTATACACTAGGGTACAGCTCCTGGGAGTGAGAAGTAGTGGGTATACACTAGGGTACAGCTCCTGGGAGTGAGAAGTAGTGGGTATACACTAGGGTACAGCTCCTGGGTGTGATGAGGGTCTGAGGGCGTGATCTGAAGGAGACGTAGTGTTCCCCTTAGTAGCAATATAGAAGTCTGATACCCCCCCTTTTTTCCAGTAGTGCTAGAATTAAACACAGGGCCTGTACATGCAGGCAAGTGCTCTACCACTGAATTACAGCCCCAGCTCTTCTCTGTTTTTTGAGACAGATTCTCCCTAAGTTCCCTACTTGTGAACTTACGATCCTTCTGCCTCAGCCTCCTGAGGAGCTGGGATTACAGGCCTGTACTAGCGGCCCCTGCCAACGTCTGCCCTGTCTGTATCTGGAGTGTTGGAGGGGCAACATCAAGGGGAAAGATGGGGGTTTGAAGAGTCAGGCTGGTCCGCAGGCGACAATGGAGGGCTTGTGTCCCAGAAACCAGGAGTTGAGGCCGGCAGAAGGGCCAGAGTCAGGTGGGAAACACTTTCCTAAAGGGCTTTTTAGGTGACGTCCAAAGATCAAAATCAGTACCCATCTGGGCTAGGATAGGGTGGGAATAGAAGTAGCTGTGGGCTAGGTTAGGCTGAAGGACTAGGCTAGTCTTAACATTTCCGATGAATTTAGACTTGGGATTTGGTTGAGTGAGCGTGGTTGAGATTTGAGTCCAGGAAGGGGATGTGGTTACGTTTGGGCAGGCAGAAGGTTAGTTGGGACTAAGATCTGTGAATTTGTTGCTTTACACATCAGATGGAATGGTGTTTGGCAAGTCACAAAAAGCAGGGATAGTTTGGGTTTTAAGCTTGGATAGGTATGAGGTCAAGTGGTTTCTTTACTCTAGTTTACATTTTATACTTCCAGATTTTTCTATAATGACATGTTTCTTAGAAACAAGTGGATAGGCTTAACAATTTGCCTGTATTCAGACTCGGGACAGGGTTTGGATGTAAGAAGCCATGAAGACAAGATTAAGGTTAGAGTCTGTCATATGCTGAGCCTATAGAAGTCACTGTTGGGACTCTTCGTCACATACAGAATACAGGAGGCAGCTGAGGGCTTCAGCTGTGGCATGGGTACTCAATACAGACTCTCAGGTGCTTGACAAAGTCAGCTTTGCAGGTGGAGGGAGCATGGGAGGAGTGTGTATCCCATCACAGGCATGAAAGGGTCTTAGCTTGAGTGTGTGTGCGCACGTGTGCGTGTATACGTGTGCAAGTACACATGTGTTTTCAGACAGCAGGATCACACTTAACTGCTCCCCGGACAAACAGGCTCCACTTCGCTTCCCCCTATGTGTAGCCTTGGTCCTTCCTTGGTCCTTGCCATCCCTAGTTCTTACCTAACTCTGTTTTCCTTTCTAGTCCCTGATTACCGAATCCCCAAATACGTCCAAGTTCTCCTCCTCTGCACCAAGCCTGGGCATCTGGTGAAGTCCCCTGTAGGAGCCTGTGCGTATCTCCTAGGGTTAGTTTTGGAGACTGGAACCATCATGAGCTGAGCAGTAGCCCTTCCAGCTTTGAGACAGCTTTTAGGATGAAGTATGGTTTTGCTGGAAGTTAGTGGCATTGCCAAAGTCCTGCCAAAGCAGAAACTGGAGGCTTGGCTGGCCTCTTCACCCCTCCCTGCCAAAGGCAGCCCTGTCATCCAGAATCCTGGACTAGGCTGTCTGCCCCGTAACTGGAGGTATAGGCAGGAGCCCAGCCTGGAGCTTGTTTCCTCTCCCTTCCCGGGCCCTGTGGGACATCCCTGGGGAGAATAGCTCCTTACACAGGGGGCAACAGGAGGAGAAGAAGCCTTTGGATAAACAACAGCTAAGTCATCTGGGCAGAAAAACGGCTTGTGAAATTAACCAGACGAGGCCGGTGTTTCCAGGAATATTTCAGTTCTGAGGTAACTGTATCACTGCAGGCTGGGGGGTGGGGGACACCAGAAAGCAGAAGGAGCCTACTGACCAGTCCTGGAGAGAAGCAGAAAGAAGCAGGAGTCGTAGGAATCAGAGTGGAAGCCAGTAGAGGAGAAAGGACAGGTGAAGTACAGGACTCTGCTGTCCTGTGGCAGTTCTGATCTCGGGCAAGATGTGCTCGACTCTCCGGCAGCCAAGCTGGAAGGCCTGGACAGAGAACACCTGAGCTTAGTTGTGAGCACTGAGCCAGGGGCTCCCAGTGCCCAGGGGGCAGGTCTGGTAGAGCCCAGCTCTCTGCTTCCCTCTCTAGCTCATGGTATGCAGGTGGACCCCACCATCAGGCTGCATCCCAGCCCCTCCCCCAGCCTGGTCCCCAGCCCCAGCCCTGCCTCTGGCTGCTGCCCACTGATTGTTTACATCCCTTCTCCTTGTGTTTATAAATCCGGCTGAGCACGTGAGGAGCTAATGAGTGCAGCTCACGTTTCCTGCTGCAGCACCCCTACACCCCCCATCCTGGCCCCTGCCAGGGCCAGCCCCTAATTCTATCCAGATCCCTGGGCCCTGGGAAACAAGGCCCCCCCTCATGAACACACACACACTGCCTTAGCCCCATCAAGCCCAAGGGCCACCCCCACATGCTACGCAGGCAGGCTTTAGCCAACCTCCCCTCAGCTCCTGGCCCATCTCATAGGCTGACCACCCTCAGTGAGGGTGGGGGGCTCAGCAGTGCAGATGTCCAAGGTTGATGGGGGAGACCGCACCTGGGACTAGGGGCTAACAGCTGTAAGGGCTGTAGCTGGGTCCAGAAGTCCTATAGTCTAGGCTGACTATGCGAGCCAGAGGAAAGGTCCTGCCCTCAGTCCAAATCATAACCAGCATCTGGGTGACCTTGGAGAAGTCCACTGAGGGGAGCTGGAGGGAGTAGCCTAAGAAGGGGTGTGAGATCCAGGGGTCCTACCCAGGGAAAGGCCTTTCCGTCCTCAAGACTGGTTGCCCCCTTCTATTTTTTTTTCCTTCCTTCGCTTCTGCCTTCTCAGGTTCCCTTCCCCCAAGGCTGCTGAGGAACGGGAGCGGAGCGTTGGTGGGGAGGTAGACCTGGAGATCAGGAGACCTAGCTCTGCCATGAACCCATCTATTCACAGTGGACATCCATAAGGAGACTGCATGTGCTTGCTAAAGTTCCTCTCAGCTGAATCATGTGGGCTCCATCCCTGTATCCTTTCCAACATTCCCATCTTTCTCATCCTCTTCCTTTCTAGTCCAGAAAGTAGAAGAAACCAGGGTCAGGGGAAGAAGCAGAGGCAAGGCAAATCAGTCCTTGGGAAGTCAGTCCAGGAGTTGCGCTAGGGCTGAGGGGAAAGCTGCTCCGATGTGCCACAAGAGGGCTCTTGAAGAACTCAGGAAGATGAGTGAAGCCCACAGCCATAGGCTGAGCAGCCCACTGAGGCCAGAAGCCGCCGAAAAAGAAATGAGGGAAATAGTTCAGAGCAAGTGTGTGGGTGAACTGGAAAGGGTGTTGTGGTCAAGAGTGTGCAGGAGGGTGTGGGAGGGGCTGCAGAGTCCAGGAGCCAGGGTGTGAACAGTCAGGTGGGATTATGGGGAAGAATGTGAAGTGTCAGGAAACCAGTAGCTAGTGTGTAGGGGTGGCCTGCAGATGTGTGAATTGGACACTTCAATGTGCAGCCCGGGGGCCCATGACTCCAGTCAGCAGACACTTCTGGGACTGCCCAGGGACAGTGGCTGCCATTTCTAGCTGTTCCTCCTCTACCTCTGAGGTGTGGGTAGAGGGCACTAGGGCTAGAGGGGTGCGCCGTGTCTGTTAGGGAACTAAGAACTTGTGTTCCGTGGCGGGGAGGGAGGACGGTATGGCAGTGTGTACTGGCTTGAGACGGATGCCTGTCACAGACAATGCACGCCAGAGATTTCCCTAGGTCAGATTCCGGGGGAGACAGAGGTGCGCCTGATGCTCCCCACCTCTAGCTTTTCTCTAAGATTCGGTCTGCCGCTACCATGCTTCCAGTGTCTGCCCTTCTTCCTCTTTTGGCAGGTTCTTCCTGCCCCTGGGCTCTGCAGAACACAGAGATCGGGGGGGGGGGGGGGGGTCTCCCAGAGGGAAGCCTCCTGGAACCCAGTGTAATAGAAAGGTAGGTGAGAACACGGGTGTGGGGACTCCGGAGAAGCTGCGCGGACTTGGCTTGAGGGGCTCAGCCCTGAGAACTTGGGCGGGAGGAGTTGGCAGCTCGCTGGCCCTACCTCCTCGACCGTGACCTCTCATCCCGGAGCCCTCCCGGCGGCGGTGGCGCCTTCCCCTTGTGTGGCCCCGGCGCCCCCGGCCCCGCCCCCCCGTCCGCTCCTTCCCAGCGGCGGCGGCGGCGGCGGCGGCGGGGGCGGAGGCGGGGTCCGGGCGCCGGGCTCCGGGGCTCGGCTGAGCCGCTGCCCGCTCCGGCGCGTCCACTCCCTGCCCTGCCCGCCCTCCTGCCACCGGCCGCCCGGCCAAGCTCGAGGGGCTGCCGGCAGCTCTCGACGCTCCCGGGCCGCTGACGGACTTTTTCCTGCTGGGTCCGGCCGGGCTGCGTCTCCCCCCCCGCCTCCGCCCCCCTCCCGCAGTAATCACTCCCAGGCCACCGCGGGCCCGGGGCCCCGGCCGCCCCGCCGCGCCGCCCCTACCTGCCGCCGGCTCCCGGGCGGTGGGCAGCATGGAGGGCTCCGGCCACGCCGGCGCGCAGCGTAGTAGCCGGGAGTCCCGCGGCCCGGCCGGCCGGCCGCCCGGCCCAGCCAGGCTCGCTCTGCCCTCCCTCCTCCCGCGCGCCCTCCTCCCCTCCCCGCCGGCCGAGGAAGGAGTTCGGCGCGGCCCGAGGTGTCGGCCTCCCCTCGCCTCCCGCTGCTCGGCCGCGGGCTCCCCCTCTGCCTCCCTCCCTCCCTCTTCCTCTCCTGGCCCCCTCCTCCCTCGCGCCGCGTCCCGTCCCCCCCACCCCACCCCCGCACCCTCGCTGCCCGCCTCGGAGTCGCTCGCCCCGACTCCGGCGCGGGGCTCTGTGTCCTCGGGTTCTCTGGGACCCCGCCTCGCTGGGGCTCCAGGTGGCCGCCTGTCCAGGTCTGAGGGGTGTCCAGGCTCCCCCGCCGCGCTCCCGGCCACCTCCCGGCTCCGCCGAGCGGACTCCAGGAATGCCGCGTCCCCACCCGGCCCCTCTCGAGGGCTCCCGGCCGTACCTCCCCAGCCCGAGCTGTGCTCCCCGGCCGGGCCCCGGCGTGGGGCTCCGGGGGTGGGGAGGAGGACGGGAACCGGATCTCACTGCTGCTGGGCGGGGGCGGAGGCCGAGGCCTCGGACGCCTGGCTCCTACCTGCTCGGAGGTCCATGGGGCTGGGGGCCGGGCCGGCCGGGCGCGGCTCCTCTCCCAGAGGCTGGCGGAGTGGGAGGGCGAGCCGCGGCTCCGGCGAAGCTTTAATAATCCCATCCGCCAGGCCCACTCGCAGGTTTTTTTCTCTCGGTTTCGCATTTTTTTTTTCGGTGTGGGACATTCTGCAAACTTTTTTTTTTCTGACGTGTAAAGCTGTAACCACAAATTGTAGCAGCCCTCCCCGGGGTGGGGGGGAGAGGGGGGAGGAGGGAAGGGAGGGCTTCTGGGGCTCCTCTCCCTCCCACAACACTGAGGGGGGGTGAGGTGAGGCAAGGCTGCGACGGTACCACCCTAGGCCTCCTGGGGGAGGGGGCAGGGAGGGCATCGTCCCTCTGCAAACCCTTGAGAGCTTGGAGAGGGAGCTGGCCTTGGTGTGGGCTTCTTCCTTGGTGTCGGCCAGGGCATGCTGGCCTCCCTCTGTTCCCTGCTGGGTTTAGGGTCCCTGTGCCCACCCTACCTCTGCCTCTTCACTTCTAACCTTCCCTCCCCCTCCCACTTGAGTAAATGCAATGACACATTCTCTCAAATGCCAGCAAACTGGCCTCCAAGCAAGTGATGGTGTTTTTCCTGCTGCCCTTTGTCTGGGCTGACCGCCCCACTTGCCTATTGTCCCGCCGCTTGTGCTTGTCCCCTTTCCAAAAGCTAGAGCTAAGTGAGGCGCCAGCGGCCGGGGCAGGTGACTAACCAGCTCATAGTGCCCCCTGAGGAGGGGAGAGGGCACCAGGGCCCTGCTTCTCCCTCAAGTTCACAAGGGTTTTCATTCTTCCCAGTGACCAGGCAGAGTGCACATGGGTGGGGGATTTGTAATTCATTAATCAGCACAAGGCACCGGACCAGTTTCAACACCAGAGGCTTCACGGGTGACTCAGCGGGAACGCGCAGATTCAAGGCCATGAACAGACCAGACCCAGCATCCCGTTTGTGAAATGCTTCCCCATCGAGACATTTGGCATCCTCTTCCCTTTGGGGTTTTGGGTTGTTGGTTTTTCCGGTGGTGAGGTAGGGGTGGTTTGGCAATGAGCACTCTTCTCCCTCCTTCCCCTCAGGCCTGGGTTGGGACTTGCTGAGTGGGAGACCTAGGGGACCCATAAGCCTAGACCTTCCCAGGAGGGTCTCCCTTCCTCCCCCTTCCTCCCTCTCCAAAGGGCTGCCAGGGAGAGTGAGTGAGCAAGAGCACTAGTGCAGAGGAAACAGCTGTCTTCTGGGGCTGGGAGACAGCCTCACTTGGTGATTTTTCTTGGGGTTCAGTCATTTGGTCCCCAAGTCTTGGGTGCTTGTAGAAGCGCAGCACCAATGAAGCCATTTGATAGTAAGCTGCTGTGTTGTTTATCTGTACTCTCCACAGGGGCAGATAGGGGTGGCAGCCAGACCTGGAAGTGATGCCTGTCTCTGGAGTGGCATGAGACATTCATCCCCCACTTCTGCTGGTGCCCCTGGGGAAGGAGGGCACTCTCTCTGCCAGTCTAGCTCAGCCCCTCCAGCCTGTGGGTCAGAGTAGGCATCAGTCCTGGCCGGTGCTGGTTTCTCAGGGCAGCACTTCCCTTTTCTGCACTGGAGAACTGGGGTGGGGGGGTGGGGGGGGTGGGGAAGAAGTTTGTTTTCAATTACCTCACTGGAGTGGGACAGACTTTGTTGTTGGGTTGTTTCTTTCTATTTTTTTTCCTCTCTCCCTTCCTTTCTCTCTCCCTCAACCCCCCCCCCCCCTTTTTTTCCCTGAACAAGAAGAAAAAGCTAAGAATGGAGAGCTGGTCTGGGGTGGGGGCAGGGGACTCTAGAGCATCAGTAGCTGCTCTAAGAGCCTTGGAGGGGCCCTTGTGAAAAGCGCTGGGCCTCCCTCCCCCACCTCCTCCCCACCCCCCACCAGCCAGGGCTCTGGAGTTTCAATGACATTCTTGGCCAATGAGCCTAACCCCCTCTTGATGCTCATGCCAAGGTCAAGAAGGCAGATGCCCACCGGTAACTGGCCCGGAGTGGACCAGGAGGTCCTCCAAGCATCTCCTACTTCTTCTGAGGGAGGGAGAGAGGAAGGGGAGGGGGGAGCAGCTTGAAAGCCCAGCTTGGGCTCTGCGGCTCCACAGCTCACCCCTGGTGGAAAGGCTTGGCAGACAATGTGGTTTGGATTTGGCTGAGTCCCCCCAGCACCTTATAAAGCACCTTGCTGAGTCAGGGGGAAAGCAGGCTCAATGAAGAGCGAAGGAAGAGGGACTGAGGGGGAGAGAAGAGGAAGGATAAAGGAGAAGGGACCTGGGAAAGGAGAGAGGAGACAGAGATTGAGAACGAGGAGAGCTGTAGTTGTGAAGGGAAGAGGAAGACCCTGGATGAAGAGCAATAGCCTTTTAGTAAAGCTGGGGAGAAGGATCTACAGGTTACCCCACCCAGCCACAGCAAGGCATCCCCAAGGCATTGGCTTGCAGGAACCCTGGGCAGCTCCTAGCAGATCCAGACCAATGAGGAGCAGGACAACTGGGTTCATACATGACTTTGTGGGGCTCCCCTGTTTTGATTCTTAATGTAGTGACCCCACATTTTAGGAAAGTCAGATTCTCCCTTAGCCCCGTGTCTGGACTTGCCTTCCTGCCCTCTCCCCTCACCCAGTGGGGGCCACCCCCCAACTCCTGCAGTGCCAAAGGGAAAATCAACTCCATCTCCAAGCTGCCAGTGCCCCTCTGCCATGTCTGGGCAAAGGCAGCAAGCTAGAAGCTGCCAGTTGGGGTGGGGTGGGGGCTGGAGTAAAGACTTTGCCTCCTGCCAAATCCCCACTAGGGGTGGGCTGCTGGAATTTGGGGGAGAAGGAAGAAAGGAGAGTGAATCAGGAGAGCCCCCCCAGGGTTTCTGTGGATCAGGGTGGGGCAGGACAGGTGCTGACTTCGGGTCCCCAGTGAAGAATGATGAAGCCCCTGCTCCCTCCTTACCTGTGGTGGCTCTCAGAAGCTGCTCAGGGCCCTCCCTTCCAACTCCAGCACTCTGGGAGTGTGAGTGCGGGTGGAGTAGAGGCAGGAGGAGAAACTGGGCTCCTCCCCCAGCTCCAGATAAGCATCCTTGGTAGAGAGAACCATCCTCTTTGTCCTGTGGGATCCTGGAAGGGTGCTTTCTCAGCTTCTTTTGGGGTGCTTGGTCTTGTAACGGAAGAAGAGGAAATCCCAACATTGCCTTCAGGAATTTCAGTTTGGGGGCACTTAGAAAATGCCATCACTAGCCCTAGTGGTAGGAACGGCTCTCAGGGTCCCAGGAAGTTGAGAGGGCCTTATGGAGGGTCCACTGGGCACCAGCCATACAGCTTCCAGCAGCCCCAGGCAGGGTGGAGAGTGAGGTTAGGACGGGCTACCTGAGTTCCAACTGGCCACCTCTACCTTCCTCTCTCCTGGATGTTGAGAGGATTCAGTGGGTTAATGATGGATTAGGATGCTTGCCACCTCTTCTGACCTTCCAGACAGCAGACCACAGGTGGGTGGGTGGTAGACCCAAGAAGGGTGGTGGGTGAGGGGCAGAGCTGGCAATGGTGATGACCAGGTTGCCCTCCAAGGGTTAAAAATGACTGGGTGATGGGCAGTGGTGGCGCACGCCTTTAATCCCAGCACTCGGGGGGAGGGGGGGGGCAGAGCCAGGTGGATCTCTGTGAGTTCGAGGCCAGCCTGGTCTACAGAGCGAGATCCAGGACAGGCACCAAAACGACACAGAGGAAAACGGGTCTGGAAAAACAAACGAACAAACAAATGACTGGGTGCTGGCTCAGGGACCGGCTATAGTCCCCCTTCCTCCTTCCCCTTCCCCCCTTTCCTCTTTTCTCCCATAACTCATGGGAGGCAGCTCTCCAGGTACCCCCAAAATACTGTATCTGGCAAGGGTATCGGCATTGAAGGGATCCTGGCCCACGGAAATTCCAATTCTTGAACTAGAGAAACCTCTAATCTGGTCCCCTCTTGACAGGTGATCAAGGGAGGGCTTGGATAAGCCCACCGAGGGTGTGGAGACATTTTCTAATTCATTTGTCACCAGACATTTCCTGAGGGCCTCCTCTATGTCAGTTGCCAGGGAAAAAGAGAGGAGCCTTAAGGGGCTGTGGGGTGGAAGGGTAGATGTTGACCTGTGTGTAGATGAGAAGGGCTGGAGCCACAGGTCACTCCTCAGCCTGGGGCCAGGCCAGTAATTCACCTCCCCCCACCCCCTCTTCTTTTTCTTCCTTTTGTTTGTCTGTTTTTCAAGACAGAGATTTCTCTGTGTAGCTCTGGCTGTCATAGAACTCACGCTGTAGACCAGGCTGGCCTCGAACTCACAGAGATCCACCTGCCTATGACTCCTGAGCGCTGGGATAAAAGGTGTGTGCCGCCCCCACCACCCAGCTTTCTTCTGTTTTGTTTTTTGAGACAGGTTTCTCTGTGTAGCCCTGGCTGTCTCTGGAATGCAGAGATCCAGATCCACCTGCCTCTGCCTCCTGAGTGCTAATTCTTCTTTTCTTGGAGTTATTTGGCTTAAGCATTATAATAGCTTTTTAAAACACCATCACCACCACCACCACCCCCAACAACAGTACTCCTCTTCAGGTCCTTTCTTTCTCTCTCTCTCTCTCTCTCTCTCTCTCTCTCTCTCTCTCTCTCTCTCTCCTCCTCTCTCTCTCTCTCTCTCTCTCTCTCTCTCTCTCTCTCTCTCTCTCTCTCTCTCTCTGAGACAGGGTTAGAGAGGGTTCTAGCTGTCCTGAAACTCACTTTCTAGACCAGGCTGGCCTTGAACTCACAGAGATCCACCTGCCTCTGCTTTCCCAGTGCTGAGATTAAAGGCGTGCGCCACCGCCACCACCGGCTTCAGGTCCATTTTTGTCCGCTTCATCATACCTTTGCAAGAAACCTATGAGACGATGCTTTCTTCTTCTTCTTCTTCTTCTTCTTCTTCTTCTTCTTCTTCTTCTTCTTCTTCTTCTTCTTCTTCTTCTTCTTCTTCTTCTTCTTCTGTTTGTTTTTCAAGACAGAGTTTCTCTGTTTAGTCCTTGCTGTTCTGGAACTCACTCTGTAGACCAGGCTGGCCTCAAACTCAGAGATCTGCCTGCCTCTGCCTTCTGAGTCCTGGGATTAAAGGTGTGCGCCACCACCACCTGACCCCTTCTCCTGTTCTTAAATGAGGAAACAGGTGATTAGCCAATTGAGTCACTTCATCATACTACACTAGGCTGAATGATAGAACAGGCATGGAAACCTGGCATTGTCTGACCTCAGGGACCATGTCCTTTTGACTGCACTGTACAGGTACCAATTTGGGGGCTGCCTTGAGATGAGTATTCTGGAGAGAAGAGACTGAGTCTAAGAGCAAGTTTTGTGTTGCAAAATTTTTTTTTGAGTCCCCTGGCTATGAGGCCTGTGGCTATGAGCACAGGGTGTCCTTCAAGATACCAAGGTGTTCCTTGAGACGTGTAGAACTTATTCTAGGACCTGAGGGTTCCTGGCCCTCCACCACTGACATGCACTGTAAGCTGGCCCAAGTGACTTAACATCACTCTCCTGTGTCCAAGAGAGGCCGGGTCCTAAGAGCACTGGAGACCACAGCTAGATTCTGAATTCCACTAGCAGGGAGTTTGGAGCCACACAATGAGCGTTAAAGTAGAGTTAGAAGATGTCCACCAAAGCAGCAAGACACGGGCTTGCCTCCATCCTGGTTCACAAAGGGAGTCCCTAGATAGGGTTCAGGGGCCCAACCCCAGACACTCTTTGGAGTGTTCTGCAGGGTGTGCAAACAACTGCAGTATTGTGAGGAGGAAGGAGGAAGCTGAGGATGGGAGAGGTAGGAGAGTGGGCCCTTTCCTTTCCCCCAGCACACTCCAGCCTGGAGGGCCCTGCCTCACCCTGAGCTGGCCCTGATGTCAGCGCAAACCCCAGGGGCAGAGGGCTCCTCTTACCTCAGCAACTTCCCTGCCCTACCCTGGCTCCCCCACCCATACCTGGCCCAATGCAGGCCTCCCCAAAGGACACCCCACCCTTGTTCCCCTGTGAAGCTGGAGGGAAGCTGAGAGGCACTCAGCTCTGTGGTTCTGAGGCTGTCTCCCCTCTGGCCTACCGTGGCCTTTTCTGTCATCCATCAGAGTGTCTGGGTGATGGGTGTGGGCCAGAGGCCAAGGCAGAAGGGATACCCCCAGGTGCCTGACTCCTCCTTTGCCTGCCAGGAGCTGTCCTTGCCATTCTCCCAGGATGTTCCATTGCCCTGGCCAACCCATGCCGCGGGCTCTGTGACTCTGTCTCCCCTGGCAGAGGAGTGGGGTTACCTCTCCCTGGGCTGGGAGATCCTTATCCTGCCCTGCTGAGTCACTGCTGGCTCCTCCCGCCCTGTCCCCTCCCTTCTCCCCATTACTCTCTTTCCAGGCCTTTCCAGGCTGTCCAGACCAAGGGTCAGAGATAACCCCCTTCCCTGAGGCCATCGATGATGTACTGATGGGTGAGGGGGCTTAGTGGCAGAAGGAGAGGGGAGAACATGTCCCTCCCCTAAGTGACCTTGGGCATGTCACTATCCCGTCTACTCCTAAGTGTCCTCTCTCCAAGACAGGGATGGTGGTAATAGGGCAGTAGCACCTTTCTTGTGGTCCTTAGTAGAGTGTCGGCATGAATTTGTGTCAGAGTCAACTTGGCAAATTTGTTAAATAAGTACAGTGGGAACTGGGCCTGCCAGGGTTGTAGCTCAGTGGCAGACTGCTTGCCTAGCACACACAAGGTACTGAGTTTGATCCCCAGCACTGGAGACGAATGAACAGCACCACCAACAAAGTTATAAGGAGCACACAGTTCATCCTAACACTAAGGAGGTAAAGGCAGACAGATCCTTGTGAGTTCCAGGTTATCCACGGTCAGTGAGCCCCTGCCTCAGAACAAAGCAGTGATAAAGAAATAGGAACTCATGGTACATGGAGGACTATGGAGTCTGGAGATGTCAAGGAAGACCTCCCTGAGAGGTCAGAAAAGTGCATGGCAAACAGAAGAGCAGGTAGAGCTGGAGGGAGCTGGTACCCATGTCTTGGCTGTCCTGTTACCTCCCAAAGGTGTCCCAAAACAGCTGCTGTGTATGCCTTGCTGTCCAGTGTGGACCTAGAGACAACCTGCCTTCCAGGGCCATATGGAAAGGTGACTTTAGTACTGGCCAGTGATGTGGGCAGCTTGCTGTGAGGCTCAATGTAGCCTAGGGCACTTGGAGCTGACCCTTCCTCAACCTGCGACTCACAAGGAACTCTAGACAGATCCATATATATATATATGCACACGTATGTATGTATGTATCAGAAATTCCAGACTAGAATTTTCCGTGGCTGAGCATGCATAAGGCCCTGAGTTCTATCCCCTGCACTGGAGGTAGAGTGGAGGCCCAGATCTACCGACTACAATTGACCCTCTAACTTCACAAAATCCCCAGAGTTGCTAAGCTCTAAGGAGACCCAAGAGACTCCTGGTCTCCCACCCATGTATGTAGCTACTGTTTATGAACACTATCTGCCTGGCAGTGAAAAAAAAAAATCTGAATACTGGCCACCCACAATCTCACACAGTCCTCTTGAGGCAGGCGCTGCTGCAGTCCCATCTCACCATGCGAAATACAAGGCACACATTGTACTTAGAGGCCATCAACGTGGCTCTCTAGCCATCCTACTTTTAACCAGTGACCCCTTCCCCATTCTGCCCCTATGTCCCTGAAAGCCCCTTCCCATCTTCATGTCTACAAGCACACCCTAGGAGGATACCTTCCCTGCCCCCTGGCCCCTGTGGTGGGGCCTGTCATAAGGCTGGGCCCAAGACTGGCACCCACAGATGCATGCTTGACCCCGTCGGACCAGCCACCCTAGCCTTGCCCTGGGATCTGGGACTGGATGCGGTGTCTGTCTCCCTCTGCTGGTCCCATAGGGGACAGCCTAGCTGAACAGCTTTCCTCAAAGCTGGCTGATGCCCTGGTCTCCCCGGCAGTGGCTGGGGAGGGGGAGGGGGGGCAGTTGAGGAAACAATTGAGGGACTCAGGCCACACCCTGATGCACAGAAACACCAGGATCACCTTCTGGGGTCCCTGTGGCCAGAGGCTTGTCTTTAACAAGACCTCCAAGGGGTGGTCTTTAGGGAGGTCAGGTTGCCTCCTGATGTCTGCCCAGGGGGGCCCCAAACAGCCTCTTTCTCCTTCTAACTCATGAATGGAGCTGTCATCCATGGATTTATCTAAACCTTTTGTGAAGCTATTTATATTTCCAACCGGGACCACATCTTGGGGTAATGAGTTCCATCGGTGTCCTCCCCTGCTGGGTGAAGTATGCTGTCTTTGATTTGTCCTAAACTTACCTCACTTGCACTCCAAGGGGGCCCTGTAGCTCCAGCATGCCAGGTTTTGGTGAACAAGCTGAGCTTCCCCTTTCCATCCCTCTGTGGGTTTGAAAAATTCCATTCCATCTCCCTTCCACTTCCAGCCACGCACGCAGACCGAAAAGACCTGGTCCCTCGTGTGTGCACCGCGTCTGTGTGTCTGGAGCATGGCCACGTCTTTATCTCATGGGAGCCTCAGGGAATTGTGTTTTTGTTGTTGTTGTTGGGGTTTTTGTTTTGTTTTGTTTTTTTCAAGAGAGTTTCTCTGTGTAGCTTTGGAGCCTTTCCTGGAACTCACTCTGTAGCCCAGGCTGGCCTTGAACTCACATAGATCCACCTGGCTCTGCCTCCCGAATGCTGGGATTAAAGGCATGTGCCTGTGCCACCACCACCAGGCCTTCTCGGGGAGTTTTTGAGAGCCATAAGCACTCCCATTCTCCCTGCTCTGGAGGCTAAGGACCAGCAAAAGCCCAGAACTGAAGGACCACATGTGGTGGCTCAAAGCAACAGCAGGAACAGCCTGCTTTCTTAACTGCCCTCAAGGCTGATTCTTTCTTCTGCCCCATCGAGAGCCCGCGGAAGGTTCGCCAGCCTGTGGGTTCCACACCTTTCTCTATACCATTTCACTGGGGAGACTTTCCCCCAGGATTCCCGTGTGCCTCATCCTGTATCTAAACTGACGATTCTCTGTTGCCCTCTCTGATGCTTAGGCTACAGCAAGGATGGACTACACAGATGGAGTAGGTAGGATACCATCATCACTGCAATAGCAGACTGGAAGAGTTTGATACAGCAGCTCCTGGAAAGAGTGACCCTGAGTACCTCCAGTCCACATATTAGAAAATTCAGACTTTGCTGGGCGGTGGTGGCGCACGCCTTTAATCCCAGCACTCGGGAGGCAGAGCCAGGCGGATCTCTGTGAGTTCGAGGCCAGCCTGGTCTCCAAAGCGAGTTCCAGGAAAGGCGCAAAGCTACACAGAGAAACCCTGTCTCGAAAAACCAAAAAAAAAAAAAAAGAAAATTCAGACTTTAAGAACACCAGCCACACGGCCGTTTTCACACAACTTTGATGGAGCCAAGATTCAAACCCAGGCAGGCTTGGCACCTAGACCTCATTCTGTGTCTCAGCAGACAACCTTCAAGGCAAGATTCTGAATCTTTGCTCTTCAGTTATTCATCATAAATGTATCAGACCAATGCTACCTGCCAAACATTGTTCTGATTGCTGGGACGAATGCCAGGAAACAAGAAAGCCTGGGCAGGACT